TTATTATTATTATTATTGTTATTATTATTATTATTATTATTATTTCTTACACAAATACTGGAATCATAGAGACGTGACACGCTCTTAAATGGCTAGAATAATTTATATTTATACAAATTATGTGTATGTATGTGTTGTGTGTGTGTGTGTGTAAACGTATATATATATATATATATATATATATACGTTTGTGTGTTTGTGTTTGTGTTTAAATGAAAATTAATCGAATTATTTGAGGTAAGATGTACAACGAGTGTCACTTAAAATCCTACACCCCTTTACTAAATAATAAAGATTAAAGGGTGTACGATTTTAAGGAACACTGGCTGTATGTAAGTATTGTAAGCTTAGAGATATAGGATATTAGAATGTATATTAAGCTACGTTACATTCCTTTTTTTCTGTTTTTTCTTCAATTTTTTTTTTTTGGGAAAGACTAGATTTAGGCAAGACAGTTTTGTAAGTATATTCTTTCATTGACTCACACATTTATACTAGCTCACTCTTTCTTAAATACATGTACGCACTTTTCCTCTCTCTTTCTCTCTCTCTCTCTCTCTTTCTTCCTATTTATTTCGATCTATCCTATTCCTTCCTACCATTCACTCATTCACAGTCACTTTCTCTACTCTCCCCCATTTCTTTCGTTTTCTTTCTCTATTTCACTTTCACTTTTTACTGTCGTATTACTACCATTGCTTTTTTTCATCTCATCTCTTCTTTAACTTATTCGATATATATGTATATATATATATATATTATTATATATATAAATATATGATCATTTTTGATAAACTTACCTATTAATTATTAATAATTGCTAATAATGAAAAACATTTTCATTTTTGGTATTTTTGTTTTCTTTCGAGGGGAGGTAGGGGGGTAGTCCCGTAATTTTACATTATTTATTCTTATCTTTGCCAATTTAATTAATTCATCCAACTTGAAATAATTCTTATTTCTCTCTTTTCATTTCTCAATTAAATTTCTCGAGAATCATTATTATTATTTATTATTATTATTATTATTATTATTATTATTATTTCAATATAGAGATAATATTATATCTTATCAACGATCTTGTATAAACTGCATATTATCGGGATAAAATGAAACTTATATTTTTTGTTATGACCGCGATAAAATATTTTGAAATAGCTAATTAAACGAATAGAGCGATATATAACAATATTTGTGAACTTCTAGTCAAAATTGACAATTTGTTTATTTTTTGAGCAATGGAGGAAAAGGAGAAATAGAAAGAGAAAGAGAAGAGAGAAAAAGAGATTGAGTGAGCGAGTAAGTGTGTGTGTGTGTGTGAGAGAGAAAAAGAGATAGATAGATTAGACAGATAGAGAGAAAGAGAGAGAGACAGAAACAAAGAGAAAGAGAGAGAGAGAGAGAGAGAGAGAGAGAGAAAGAAAAAGAGAGAAATCTTTCAAAGCACGCTTTTCTCCTCTCTATTATCGTATAAAGTGTTTGATTTCTTCTAACATAATGTATAGTATAATTAAAAAAATAATAAAAAAAAGAACGCGAAAAGGATAAAAAAGGAAAAAAAATAGGCTCGAATGTTTTTCTATTTCTCCATTGGGTACCGTTATACCGATCGTTATTAGTATAATATAGAGAGCTAGAAACAATTATTTTTCTAACGAATTGATCCGTTTCTTCATCCTATTTTTGGTTTCTTTTTATTGTTATGGTTTTTGGTAACCAACACTTCGTCGCCTGTTTATGTGTCGGGCATAATGATTAAACCATTGTAAGTATACTTATTATAGGCTTTCGTATAAGTGTGTCTCCCTCCCTCTCTCTCTCTCTTTCTCTCTCTCTCTCTTTCTCTACCCCTCTCCTTCTCTACCTCTCGCTATCTCTAACTTCCTCCCACCCTATTCCCTTTTTTCCCTTTCTATCGGCAATCAAATTCAATCGTCCCAAGTTGGAAAGTTTTCTTGCTGAACGAAGAGTGCAGTGCTCGACGGTGATTGGCTGTGCGATTGATTCGTGTAATTCGTCGGTGTACCTCCAAAGTTTGTACTACCAAATACGGGCTGTCCGAATGCGTCAAGCTGTTGACCCCCATAAATATTCGAATCCACGTTCGTATACGCAGTTTGCTGATTATGCGGGGGGTGTCTTTGTTGATCGGTAACAGTCAACTCGATATTTCCCGTTGCACACTCGTTAACAACTTCATCCGCGTTTCCTTGAACGTTCCTTTCTTCCAAACTGCTATGTTTAATACCATAATAGAAGTACATTATGAAGCCTGAAATTTATACGATAAGTGTGAAGTGTATCTATTAATCTGTTAGTTTGAATAATTATATACAATTAACTAACGAAAGTATTTGAAAACTTATTATGAAATATTTTAGTGAATTACTGTTTATGTATTACACGTACCAAGTATCATCCAAACTGTAAATCTAACTAGAGTCAAGATGCTAAGTTTGAAGATGAGGTAAATGTTAACAGTTACAGCAATGGCCGGAACAAATGGTAATCCCGGTGTTGTGAACATTAAAGTGTTTCTGCAAAAGGATATCACGATTACAATGATTATATTGAAATTATATTCGTTTATTAACAACATAGGATCTTTCAATTTTGTAATCACCTGTTTTGCGGTTTCCTACTTATGGCCAAAAGTATTCCAACGATCGCGAAAAACAATATGAACAATACTATCGTTGTAAAAGTGCCCATATCACCTTGAATCATATTTAAACAAAACGAACAATTGATATTAAATAAGAGTTACAGATAATTATAAAATAAATGAAAATCTAATTAGATATTAATCAATTTTACTCACCCATTCTACATACAATGATAATATCGAAGATCAAAATTAATAAATACAAGATACCGACTAATTTCATGACATAATGACCCGATGCCTCGGTGGCGGGTCCTCTATCCACCCATGGAAATATGGCAGGACAGAGATATTGTGCAGCCTTAACAAACCAAAATTTAGAATACATTGAAATATATGAAGAGAAAAAGATAAAAAGAATAAATTAAATATAATTAATAAACGGGGGAGGGGGGTTACCTGTAATCGGCGTTGTAAATAATTTAAAGGCGGTCCTATGATTGGTGTATTTCCAGGATATTGATGCGTACTTCCGCAACTTGAGGCGGCTGCCGCCGCGTGAACACTACCGTAAAATTTGTTTTCCGTTCTATCGCTAACTAAATATTGATCGTCTTTCCCCAAACCAACTTCGTCTTCTTCCGCGCCATAAGTGTCGTCAGAATCTGGAGAGGAACTATTACACCTTCTGACCCGTCTTACCTAAACAAATTAATCGATTGCAATAACTGCATTATCATATTTTATTATCGTTAAATAATAATCTCGTAATAATATCTTTACCATGATACGTTGTCCATTATTAGTAGTCATTAATTCTGGTTGAGTTACTTGTGCAGTACTCAATGCAGTTGTCAATTGATCAGGTCTAAGTTCTTTTCCGTACGTTACTTGTCCGTTTACTTGAGTTTCCTTAGTCGGAGAACGACACGGTGTACGGAGACTTTGTGGAAGAAGTTCGACTAAATTGGTTGTATGCGGTTGATACCGTAAGATTAAGACACAAGTAGATACGAGAGTATACGCTAACAAGGTACCTGTATTTTTAAACAGACAACAACAAAAATACAAACATTTTTAATATTATTTCGTAAACGTGTATACGAGCCGTTTATTTTGAAAGTGGCATAAGCCATCGAAACACATATTATTTCTTAAATAATATTAATTATTTCTTAAATAATATTAATTATTATGTGCTAATGACACCTTGAAGCAACCCTAAAATATTATTCTACTATGTAATCTGTTATCCATATTTTTAAATTTAATCCAAATAAAACGGCTCATATATAAGTACGATTAAAAAAATGATTCGACGTATGATGAATTATTTTGTTATCTCACCGATCGACATCATTTCTACCAAAACTTCCAATTGTATTAGTAATGCCGCGAATGCAGCGCAAAGACCAGATGTTAATGTGGCTAATGCTGGAGTACCGGTTGTTGGCCATACGTGGCTTAAAGTTCTATGATAAATATACATAAATGAACATTAATTGATCATATTATTAATTATCAAATAATTATTTGTATATAGAAAATATTAAAAGATCATTTATTTTACCGAAAAATGAGGCCATCCTGAGCCATGGCATAAACTATTCTAGGCATTGGAAACATACTGCCGAACATGGACACCGTGAGACCAGCTAACGCACCTACAGCTACTATATATTTGCATTTGTATGCACCAACGTGACCAAACATTTCGACCAATGCGGAATCTTGATCAACTTCTTCGTATGGTACTAATTAAAAAATATAAAATCATTATTATTATTATTTTATTCTATCTCCCCTTTTTTTTATTTGATTTCTTATTATTATAATTATATTCTCACCGATCAGAGTCAATACCATACTACTGGTAACGTAAGCTATGAGAATAATGATCAACGAAGAAACTATCGCTAGAGGAATACTTCGTTTAGGATTAGTTGCCTCTTCCCCGGTAGTCGCAATTATATCGAAACCGATAAACGCATAAAAACATGTTGCCGCTCCCGTAAATACCTAAAATAATAAACAACAAATCAATGATCATATCATTTCTTATATCGTACAAATTAAATCCCCCCTTTTTCGATTCTTACCCCGCTCCAACCGAAAGGAAGAAATCCCTTGTGTTCGGACCAATTACTCGAGTCGACATAGAACATACCAGCTGCCATTACGAAAACCCATACTGCTAGATTAATTGCATTTAGTACGTTATTAAACACCAAAGACTTTTTAACCCCAGCTGCCATCAGTAACATCATCAGTATCGTTATGATAAAGGCTAGGTAATCCGGTGGTCGTTCTGGTACGACAGAGAAACAAAAAAAAATACATATTCAATTATAAATTAACATACTAATAATAATAATAATAATAATAATATTAAATATGTTCTATCGTGTTGTTACATCAAATTTATCCCAGTTGGGTTGAGACCGTGTATCAGATGAGAATCATTTTATTCTTATTAATCCGACCCAATGAGATTGGTATATCAAAGAAAAAAAGACAAGATAGAACTGAAGATAGAACGAAGAGAGTGAAAAATTAAACAAAGGAAAGAAAGCTCTCATCGTGACACAGGTGGATAGGTCAAAAAGCGTCCGAGTGTGTGCTTCGTTTGGGAACTAAGTTCGGATCGATGAGGTCCACAGGTGCCGTAAACTAGATCCGCGCAAGCGCCCTTACCTATCTCTATCCCTTTTGCCGTTCATCCCACTTCCAAACCACCCCCCCTCCCACTCCCAACCTTTATCCATCCCTTATTTCTTCTGCCCACGATTCTCATGTCTATTACTATGAGAAAACTTCATTCAATTGCAGTTTATATGGATATAATGCGATGATGATATTAATACATATACAAACGAGAAGACAATAAAGAGAGAAAGAGAGAGAGAGAGAGAGTAGTGTTTCACTTCTATATGTTCTCTATATAAAGAAAATCGTTTATATGTTCGCGTATGAAAAAATACTCGGTGATTATTTAAACCCCTATATGTGTATATACGTATATATATTTAAATGTATAACGGGTACGTACGTTTATACCGTACGTGATGCGCACACGCGTTATTCGTGGCACGTGTTTTTTTCACTTGATAACTTTGCTCATGTCCTACAGATCGCGGTCGAGTGTGTGTAAAAAGCTTGGTGGACAATATAATTGGAGACAAAAAAAACAACCCTTTTACCTAATTATTTCGTAATGTACACACGATTCTTACCGTTTTATCGAGTTAACGAGATACGTTTAACTCGATTGAAATGAGAATATCAATAAGATAAAGTCGCATCGAATTGAAATGAGAGATATAATTCTCTCTGTCGTTTGTGAATAGTTATAAGAAAAAAATAAAAAAAATAAATGTGCTCACTCAAAATAAAATTGTCTTCAATAGAAAATATACACATCTTTCGTTGTATTAGAATTATTGAAAACGAGGTCAAGACGAGTGAAAGAGTACTTAATTGTAAGGTACGAATAATATAGGTAAGGTAGGATTCAGGGCAAGGTACATAGATAGCTTTTTCCTAATCGATTTCTCTCTCTCTTACTTCGAGGACACGTGCTACTGACAGATCTTACTACAGTTAATTGAATTTCAATACGAACGGGGCTAAATTTGTTTGTTTCTTTTTTTTTGTTTTTCTTTTTCTTTCTTATTTCCTTCCTCTTTCAAACCAAGGGAAGAAAAATAAATTAATAGGGAAATAAAACGAAAAAGTTAATAAAACATTCGTATACTACTCACCAAATATAGTACCAATGTTGTTAGCTATCGCTCCTGAGACAGCACCATTCGATAGGGCATCCAAACAAGCGCTAAGGGCGCAAGCACAGGCACTGGTACCTATCAAATACTCGAGTACCATGTTCCAACCGATAATAAAAGCTATCAGTTCGCCTACTGTCACGTAACTGTACATGTAAGCACTGCCAGTCGTGTGTGGTACTCTAACTCCAAATTCTGCGTAACATGCTCCTAAAAATTAAATCCGTACAATTTGAATCGATTGAAAATTTTAGGTGCGGGGAGGAAGTTAATTTATCTTTTCCTCACGCGATACCAATGATTTACCAGAAAAAATCGATGCAATAGCAGCAATTATGAAGGATATAACTACGCCAGGTCCAGCAACACTGTGTGCAACCATTCCTGCGACTAGGTACATCCCCGTTCCGACGCAGGAACCAACTCCTAAAGACGTCAGGTCCAGAGTAGTCAGACACTTCTAAAATATTTATATAGATACTACTACGTTATATATTTTATCTTAATAGTTTAAACTTATATAGTATCGTTTTTCTTATTTTTTTTCTTTTTTGGTTTGGTTTGACATTACAAAACCTATTTATTATCTTATTATTAAGACCTTATAGTATTAAACTTTTTTATAATCTTATTATAATTATTATTATTATCGACAAATAGCAAATATGATTATGGGACAGATCAGATTTGATTTTGACGATTTACCAGGGATATTACGCGTCTCGGTATTATTTTTCGTACGCCCAATAATAAATGGTATTGAAAAAAAAATAAAAAAAATAAGAAAAAAGAAGAAAAAAAAGCAAAGATTTCGGTTAAAAATAAACCGAGATCAATACGTACTGGTGCGAATGGCACGTCGTATGTATACTTTACACGCCGCACATAGATCTAAAAGTATGTAGGTCTAAGAATCTATTAGCTCGAAAAGTCAGTTTAGAACTATTTATAAATCGATTTGCGAGAGATAAATTATTTCTATTTTGTTTTCCTTTAATTTCTTTATTTTGCGTACACGCTACATTTCTTTTTCACCGAATAAATTGACTTTTTGATACGTAATTAATTCGTAGTATTTCTTTACTATCGATAAATAAATTCATTTGCAATTTGTCTCAAGAGCTGAAATTAATTAAGAAAATAGAGAAAAAGAAATACACTTCTGCACACTCACACACACACACACCTACCTATATATATACATAGAAATATTTTACCTGTAATTTCTGCTTTGGATCAGCTGTATTCAATGTTTCCGGACCCGTTTTCGTTTGTTCACCTTGCAAACTGTCGATATTTTTTGTTCTTATTAACTTCCCGAAAAGCTCCAACCCCTTTTCACGGTCCATAAAATCGAGCTTCATTTTTCTACAAATATATTTCATTTATTAATTTCATTTATATTATACAATGTTAATTTGTAAATATACACCAGTAAGACAATTTATATATATGTATTAATATATATGTTACATGTTGCGTGTGATAAAAAAAAAAGAAAAAGAAAAAAGAAGAATCGTGCATGAATAAGTAAAAAGAGGTAAGATGTAAAAACAAATATTAAGCAGGAGACTTTAATGCAAGCTTAAGAGGGTCATATACGAGATATTACGAAGAGTTAGTTATCAATGGCAAATCATACAGCTAACAGCATATATAAATTATTTTAACCAAACCATAATTTCGACGATAATGTTATACTAATTTTTAACTGCATATAAGAAAAATTTATTTTCCATATTAATTTTTATATTTATAATCTAACACTATTATATACAAAGTGTTTTAATTATTTTGTAAGAAAGAATGAAAGAAAAATGAGAAAAGAAAAAAGAAATACAGTGTCATTCGCAGATATATAATATAAAAATAATATCGAAAATATTGGCTTTTTTCTTTTTTAGCTTAAAAAACTGAAAGTTCCACTCGAGTTGAGAAAGGAGAGAGACCTTATAACATAACCCTGAAACCTACAGATCGATCAACGGCAATGCTGCCGGTATCTATGAAAACTAGATACGTCACGATTTGTTTATCTCGGATTAAAAGGATACCTAAACTATGAGATACGACGTTTTCATTTCTTTTTTTTCTTTTTTTTTTTTCTATTTATCGCGATAATCAAATTAGAACACGTACGTGGAAAATTAATTCATTGCGGGAGAACAATTAAAACGAATCGATTCAATTCGTTTTCTTTTTCTTTGTCATTTAAAGAAATAAAAAAACAACACTCACGTAATCAACTGAATATTATATTCGTTTAAATAATCGGTTAATCTATTTCAATTAAACGTTCGATAAATGTAATTGATATTAGAAAATATATATACCATAAGAATGTTGGGATATTATCTTATATATAGTTTTTCATAAGTCAATGTAAAATAGAAACTTATTCGAATAAGGATGGAATATGCATATTTTATCGACATTTCTTTTTTTTCCTTTCGACATTGATCTGCAACACAACACACAAGCTCCTAGCATGCAGTCTTTCGAGTATCGTCGAATTTACCCCGCCCTTTGCTAAATGCAATAAGAGAGAGAAAGAGAGAGAGACATGCGTTAAAATATTCTCTGATTATCTCCGAATAAAAAAAAAAAAAAAAACTAATGGAAACCAATTGATCTCATTGGTCGTATTTCTATTCTTAATTGTATTATTTATCGAACAAAATTATTTCACGCGAAAATGATATCATTTTAAATGGATACGCGATAAAATATCAAATATTGATTACATTTACTATAGCAAAATCGTAACATAAATTTCCAAAGTATTCTACTACTACCCCATATAGTTGGCAAAGCAAGCTAGCAAGGGATGAAGTCATCAAGGACAAAGAGACAATGCTAGAAGAAGGGGAGGAAATGAACACAAAATGTCACCTGCTGACTTACCTGATTTTTTTCTTTTCGATTTCTTCTCACAACAGAAATAACGAGGATCCTATTCTTTCTTTTTTACTTTCTTATTTTTTTTTTTTCTCGTTAAAAAGGATCACAGTCCACGACAAATATTGCACACGAAACGAGATAATTAACGAACGATCGCGGAGAAAAGCTTTAGTCGAATTTTATGCGTTCCTTTAATATATTATCAATACTTTTCTCTTTTTCTTTTTATGATTTTTCCTCCTATTATCTAATTGTTCTTCCTTCTTTCTCGTCAAAGAAATTTCAATAGATAATAATAATCACGATGCTCGTTGAGCCAGGCACACCACTGTCTCGATTATTACATATATATATCTATATATAATATATATTCTATATATTACATATATATATATATATATATATATATTCTTTTTTTTACTCTCTCTTAACTATACGTTTAATGCATAAATGTATATATATGTATATGTTCGTATATATATATATATATATATTATATATACAGACGTATACATATACAAATATATATATACATACACATATACACTATATATATATATATATTTGAATATCTCTTGACTTATTCTAATGAATATAGATTTTTTCTTTGCGAAATCACTCGATTCATTTCTCTCTCGCGTTACTTCATTGATAATAACGATAATAATAATAATAATTAATTCATCGAGTGTAATATTCTTTTAATCGCGTTCATAAGAAGATAACTTTTATTCTGCAAACTAGGATAAAATGATATGTATTGTTGACAGCGGCACCAAAGGCGTTAAATCTTGAGGAAGATTCTGTTAGAAGACGACGGACCCCGGATTGTATTTTCCCGGAGATTCGCTAGCACCGATCCCGAACACCTTTCGAAACCGTCCCAGTCACCTTTCTCCTACACCTAAATCCGTTTTCTCAGCTATTCCTTTCTTCCTAGTTTCACTAAACTAATGAAAATTCCGGCACACGCAATTTTCTTTCTCACCCTTCCTCTTATTCTCTCTTTCGCTTTCTATCCCTCCCATTCGTTCTCTCTATCTCTCTCTCTCAATCTCTCTCTCTCTCTCTCTATTTCACATTCGTTCTCTTTTTCTCTCTCTCTCTTGCTCTATCTTTCTTTCTCTTTTTCTCTCTTTCTCTTTCTCTTTCACTCCCTCCCTCTCTACACACACGGTTTCCGATGCTACCCCGAGTCACATTTTAGTGCGACACACGACTAGCAGTGGTTCGCGGGGTTAACACTTCTCTCTCTCTCCGTCTTTCTCGCGATTCTGCCATCCCTATTCAGCTAAATCAAGGGGTTATCCCCCCCCACACCTCCTCCTTTTCAAATCATCCCTGCCATCTACCGTCTCGTTTCGCTTTTTCTTCCCTTCAGTCGATTTTCTACTATGATGGTACCTCCATAGGGGGTCATCCCTACCAACCGTAGCGCCCTCATACATTCCACCCTCGTCCTATCTTCCTGTCCAATACATTTATCTATATATATATACATGTATGTATGTATGTATACCGTAAGGGTAGTTTTTTTGACTACTTCCTATGATATAGTCATTGGACAAGACGGTCTAATTTTATTTTATTTGGTACATATTATAATCAATGATTTTCTAAGATATATCGTAACGCATATGTTTGACATTTTGTAAGAGAGCAGATTCGCATTCACGGATCTTAGCTTATTTAAAAGATATAAGGATAAAAACACATATCCCTGTCATAGGACTTTTGTATTATCAGCGTAGGCGTATTTGCGTAGCTAAACTACCCTCATCCCCTCTCCCACTACACTACTCTACTCTCTTGACCTTTCTAATCTATAATACTATCCTCTGCAGGATTCTGTTATTCCAAAAATGTATATTTAATTATTCCAAATATAAGAAAAATAATACATTTTATAGAAATATAATTTCAAATATTTAATATATTATTCTTTTTTTTTTGGGGGGGGGCGGTTAGGAGGGGCATTTTCGTAATTTACATTTGTTTGTCCTGAAGTTAAAGCTTAAAGTTTTTTCAACAAATGTCCCTTCGTCAGTTGTTTCGGTATAATCCCACCCCCCTCCCCCACCAATCCTGAAAAAGGATTCTTCTATTGATGTTACACCCCCGCATGACTTTACTTTCTTACTCCCACTCTTTTTCTTCCTCTTTAAAACTAGCGCACCCACGCGTATGCTACCCTTCTTGTGTGCTGTAACCAAAGATTGACGTAACATCGTGTTACGTCAGAACGCCATTTTATATGATGACGCTTTCATATTTTCTATATGCAAATCTTTTTCCTTAATTCTTTTTTTTTTGTTCTTCTACTCTTTAACAAATTAAAATTGTCAAAAATCTTGAGATCTTGGATTATTTCTTTTCTTCTACCGTATTTCTCATAGAACTCGAATATTTCCATAAGGATAACATTTTTTTTTAATCAAGATAATATTTCATCAGATATTACAGTAGTATTTTATCGTAGAATTCATGAATATTCTCCAACAATAAACGAAGAATAGTTTTATCCTATACGAAATGCATATTGCATCGTTGATTATTGACTTTTACTACTGACATAATATACTACCTAACATTAAAATTATCTATTTTGAGTTTTAGATTATGCGAATATTCAAGATGTCGCTACGTTACAGCGCCGATACCGACATGTTAGAAAATGATTTAAAAAATGATCACTTTTTACAATAGAGAAATGTTATTAAATTGATAAAAAAAAAACGAGCAAGTATAATATAATATTTATTTGTAAGTACGTTTAATTATATTCAATTCTGTTTTATCGACATAATTTATCCGTAGAGTTTATGTAGATAATAGAAGAATACTACGTGACCGACGAGATTGTATAAGAGGGTTCCCACTTGAAGCAAGGGATGGTGCTATGTGCGTACATTGAGGCTAAATTTGAAATTCTCCATCGATAAGTTAAATTTCCCACGTACTAGCGATACCAGTGTTCGCAAATTGTACTAGATTGTACAATAATATGGCCGACACTTGCTTCATAAAGTATCAGCAACGTAACAAGCGTATTAATCCTTATGAACTTTTCATACGCTCTGCATATTCGAGAGTCATCGTTTGGAGATCGCGGTATCAGAAGTATTCATCTAGATTCACCGATATAAATTCATGGGAAAAACGTCAGTCTATTAGGAAGGGTTGGGAAGGTATCAAATTGTCAATAATACGGTGACAAAAGTTCTGACGTACGTTGGAACTTGTTAAGGCTAGTGTTGGTCTCATAAGAAAGTACAATAGGGATCGTATTAACGACTAAGAAGACGATGGAATACGTGTTAATAAAAGACATAAGACCCGGGCAGAAAAATATAAATGTAGTGTTTATTATTTTGGAGGTTGGCCATCCTACTATCACCAAAGAAAACCGCGAAGTTCGAACGTTCAAAGTTGCAGACAGTACTGCCTGTATGAATGTCTCCATTTGGGATGAACCTGGTCAGCTATTAGTTCCCGGTGACATTGTTAGATTAACCAAAGGATATGCCTCCGTTTGGAGGCAATGTTTGACCTTGTATTCGGGAAAAAATGGAGACATTCAAAAGATTGGAGAATTTTGTATGGTTATAAACGAACAATTGAATATAAGCGAACCAAATCCTGCTTTAGCCCAACAATTGATTAATCAAAGTGGATCGGGACCACCTGGTAATAACGTTAACAGTACGATAACGAACAATGGAAATGCGACCATCATTCCTGGTCAACCTGGACGTCAACCTTTGGTATGTTATCGCTGTAGGATTATTCAATTGTTATTGTTAATTCTCTTCTTATATTTTATCAGAAATAATAGTGATATAAAATAGATAAGATGGAATGTTTATATAAAGAAACGAACTTAAACTTACATGAAAGTAAATTAGAATAAATGCACTTGTTAATCTTGATTTAATAATATCAAAGATCAATGTAATTGATTACTTTGCAGGCTGTTCAAAGTAACGTTGCTACGACGGCAACAGCAGCAGCGGCAACAGTATCTACGACCGGTACAATTGGAACTTCGACGACTACAGAAAAGAGAGGAAATATCGGTAATGGGGGTAGCGGAAATACCGGAGGCAATAATAGCGGAGGATCAGGTTTACCTGGCGGATCTGCCAGATATTCTAGCAACGAATCTTCCCCAAAATCTACAACCACCACGAAAAGTAATTCGCGAGGCCGTGGAGGCTATAGAAATGGTAGTCGCATTGATCGCAGATAACATATGTCTAAGATACCAATAACATCATAAGCGTTATTATGAAGGCACAAAAAGACGCAACATCCAACACGATTGTAATATAAAATGTTTTTTCTAAGATTTCTCTATATCTATCTATATCTCAGTTCTTACGAAACAATGTAACAATTATATGCGTTCAAATGAACGTATCTAATTGTACGCATTTGAGAGCAGTTATGCCAAAATTACCCTAACATTAATGCAACTTAAGCGAGATGGATCGTTTTCAATACATTTAAATATTAGATAATATTGGAATAATATTATCAAGTACGAGTACCCTCGAAGCAAAAGTATTTCTTCTTTACTTAGTACTTATTACATCAATTAAGTTTCAATTGTGTTCAAAACAAAGATATGTAATTTAATTCATTATTTTATTAGAATGCAATTTTACGACATCAATTGATTTCATTTTATTATGCATTGAAAATCTTGCAATAAAATATATTCAAGAACATTTCAAAGGGAAACTTTCCTTTCTATTAAATCCGAATTTGTATTGAAGTGACTAATATAGAATAAGTTTAGTTCGTTGATAATAATTTGAATTAAATAACTATTGTAAATAGTTTTCATTATTCAACGTAGATTTACAATATTTATTTCATGCATTCGAAAATGATTAATAACAACAATTAACCTCTTCGTTTGACAGAGGTACCACCAAACGTAACAAAAATCCCTGTTTGATAAAAGCTATACATATACATATCTACAAAGGAAATGTATTTATCCTTGCACAACTGCCGTTTGTACCCTGAATTACCGACAGCGCAACGCATCATTTCGTACATGGAGTAGTGTACTTTGTAAGATAATCACTTTGTTTGTATACATATACATATACATATGCATACATACTATTCCAAATGAGATGATGATGATAATAAGAAATATAAAACATTTTGTTATTTGCCAATACAAAAATGTGTAAAAATGTTATTTAATATCTCGTCGTTGTAAACATGGCCAGTTATCATTCCAAGTTCTCTCATCGCAAATCGTATTTCTTCTACAGCTATTACCGCATCATAATTTTCATTAGATACCATTTCAATGTAATTCTGCAGATTTTTAAGACATTTGGATAAATGATTTCTATATCTATTTTGACTAATTACTGGATCTTCATTGAATGTATTACAACATCTGTAAAAAAAATTTAATTTAATTATATTATATATTAACTCGTAAAAAATTGAAAAATTATTGTTCGTATAACGAATGACGCAGCCTTCATTTAAACGTATAAGAATCTTTTTATCATACATATTTTTGTATATACTTACAACTCTTGACAATAATCTATCATAGTCTTAGTTATATCCGAAAGACCTTCTTCCGTTACAAACGAAGTCGCGACTATCTTTTCCTTTTTTATTATTTCTTTATCTTTTTCATTCAAGAGATCTATTTTATTCGCAATTACGATACATCTCTTTTTACATTCGTCCCTGAATAATTCATTTAAGTTCATATTGTTAACATACTCCTTTATGTAATCTGTGTACGTCATTCCAGATCGGAGATATTTGCGTGAATCCATTACCAAAATGACCAGATCCACATTTTCTGCGTATGCTTTTGCCCTTAGAATACCTTCTTTTTCTACAGGATCTTTAGGACTTCTAGTAAATCCTGCGGTATCTGCTAAAATCATTGGATAACCGGAAATATTGATTTTTAATTCTATAATATCTCTGGTAGTTCCCGCGATAGGAGACACGATAGCAGCATTTCTTTGAACCAAATAATTCAATATCGTACTTTTGCCTACATTTGGTTTTCCAATAATAACAGTTCTTATTCCATTACGTAAAATTTCGCCACTTCTATTATCCGAAAGGTGTCTTTCAATATCCTTGATAAGAAATTTAATAGAAGAATTACAATTTTCTAAGATATTATCTTCAATATTATCTTCTTCGTTAAAATCAATATATGCTTCCAAATTGGCAATAATGTTAATTAGTCTTTCTCGCCAATCTTTATAAAGTTTACTTAAACGTCCACTAGCTTGTGACAATGCTTGTTTTCTTTGTCGTTCTGTTTCAGCTTCTATTAAATCCGCTAAACCTTCTATTTCAACGAGATCCAATTTATTATTGTAGAATGCTCGTCTAGTAAATTCTCCTGGCAAAGCTTGATAAAAGTTTAATTTAGAAAGCGCATTCATTAAGGAACTCAATATCGCTGGTCCTCCATGGACATGGAATTCCACGCAATCTTCGCCTGTGAATGATTTTGGTCCTAAGACCAAAACAGCATCAATATATATTATTTCCCAACATTTGTTATTTGTAAATTTAAGACCAAACTCACCAGGAAACCATAAACATAAACCTTTATCTATTTCTTCTTTTGTTTCAGGATCCAAAATCTTTTTTAACACAGCTTTCCTTGGTTCTACTTTTAATATCCTGGTCATTTTATTTAAAGCATCTATTGCATTTCTACCAGATATTCTGACAACGGCCACTCCGCATTTACCATGACCTTAGAAATAAAATAATTCATTTTTATTGCAAGTATTTCTCAACTAATTTCTATTACATCGCAAGATGTTTATGCATTTAAATATACACTTTTAATATATATACATAACCAGATGAGAGAGCATAAATCGTTTCGTGTTTTCTTTCTGCCGTACAAAATGTCACAGAATGTCTCATAAATGATCTAATGGACAAAATCATTTGCGAACCTAATCGTTTGTTAGATAATCGTGACATTACATTGATTAAAAGGATTTTCATTTTTAATTAATTACTCGGAACAAGTATTTTATGATACATGTCAACAACTAGTAGTACAAACATGCTACCATTTGATGTAAGCATTCGTGTAGTTTTTCTACAGATTTCTACTATAGCATTATTTTCGCGTTTTTACCGTCGGTAATTCTGATGGTAAGTTACCATCAGATCTCAGTCGGTAAGATAAAGGTAGAGCACTGCAATTACCGATATGAGGCTTAAAAATGTTACTAGATTTCAATATATTTTAAACTTTCTTATTTCCTAGTAACTTTTAATAGCAAGTAGTTTACACAAAGTGAATGTATAATTAAATTCTATATACATTTAAAAACAAACAACAATTAGAAATCTAATTTAGATATTTTGTTTTAATTATTAATTAAAGGACTTTACTCGTTAAGAACGATTTTATCTTGGAACAGGTGCAGAGAAAGACTTACTAGATTAAAAAAAAACCGATATTATATTAGAGCTAGAAAGACCGGAGAAAACGGACAAAGAAAAAGTGAAAAATTGATTGAAAACAAAAAACAATAGAAAACTTCATTGCTTTGCTTAGAAATGAGAAGAAACGTTTTTGTATTTTCAATTATTAATAAGTAATTAAATAAATTAATAATAAAGTGTGCAATTATAGATTTTAAATGTGTAATTAATATACAGTTAAGAGTACTTATTCATTTTTTTTCTGCTGTTGCGATTCTATGCCAACTTTTTTGTGCTAAAATTTATTCAAATAAATTCGTAAATGTCAATTTGTCACATTCGAGATGACTAATTTTGATCATAGAATACCTATCACAAAATTGCTACCCTATATACGATCTAGTAACTGTAAATACTTTTAACCAAGACGCGTAGATGGTACTGCGGTATAAAATAATCGAGTGTTCGTTGTTTTTAGTAAATTATTATCTAAGAAATTTACAATGGCGACGATGTGCCTCTTTTATCGGTTAATAATCTTTTTTTAAAATATTACCACAAAGTGTTCAAATTGTAACTTTAATATATAAGAGATTTGTTAAATAATTATCATCAAATACAATATTAATAAAAAATATTTTAACAGTGTATCGTTCATGGTCGAGTATTATTCTTACACTTGCTTTGATTTAGTCAGTAAGAAATTATTTATATTTCTGTTTAATTTCAATTTGTTATTACGTTTCGTATTAAATTCGTTGATTTTTGTTTTTATATATATTATTAGTAACTTATTTATAATTGTTGTTTTAGAGTTAAAAAGAACAATGTTTTTCATATAATTATAATTAATCCTTCAAATTATATTATTCTGGGACTGTGTATAGTTGCATTTGTTAACCAATATGTTTAAATAAATATTTATTTATTTGGAAATAAAAGAGTAATAGAAAGATATTAAGAAATAATGTCACAAATATCGAGGCAAAGGAGGTTCAAAAGAGCTGCTCTACTCACTAAAAGAACACAATGTTTAGGAAGGTATCCCAGGAACAGAGGCTGCATGGCCTGTAAGTATTTCGTATGTGTATATACTTAAATGATTTTATTCTATTAACTAATATTTTGTTCTTTTAGCATACGAACATTTAAGAAGTAACAATAGTTGTTTGGCAAAGGCCCTCTCTAAGCAAAAAGAAAAAAAACAACTTCTATTCTCACAAAATGTTGCTTTACTAGCAGAAGTTCAAGATTTGAGTTCAGCTTGTATTAAACGCGACGTAAGTCATTTATTTAAGTTTTATATTAAACTAAATCAAACTAGATGCTAATACCTTCTTTCTTGCCGTTACTTTTATTTATTTTTTGTTTTCAGAATACGATAATTAAAGTATTACAAAATGCTAGAGAAATGCTCAAAATGTTAGTCACGTTGACCAAATTTGTCACAAATACTATCGCTTCCTGTCAAGAATATACATCTTCCACGAATACGAACGTACGACTGTCGTGCAATCCATTTTCTAGTAAGGGAATTTTCTATCTAAATGACACGATTAATAAGCTTAAGAATCACTTATCAAAGAATTATTTGTTAGAAGGAGAAAACAGAAGGCTGTCAGTTAAAACACCAACTAAAGGAATAGTTAAACCAATGGTAAGTGGGCATACGATTACAAAGCCCACTATAAATTTGAGTCGAGTAAATATGCAACATTACAACAATTCACACAACTTGAGTACCATAGAAGAAGTATCTACACCAGTTGCGATATCTCCTCCAAATTCAAATGCAAACGATGATAGTACTTCTACTTCTGTTTCTCTTAGAGGACAACCAAGAAACGTACGTTACAATAACAGAAACAACATTATCAATATATATTATAATTGATTGGATAATAAAGTGAACTATTAATATATAATTTTTTATCTTAGGCCGATGGTCGCATTTGTAGAATGCCAGAAAGATTGAACATTAATTCTCCCAGAGCTAGCGGTATGAAATATTGTACTAAGTAATATAACGATAGAAAGTTATTTAATTTCATATTTTTAGATGGAGATGAGCGACGATTGAGTCAACAAAAAAGTAGACATTCAGGAAAACCACCTGAGAGACGTTCGAGATCCAAGTCTAATAGATTGTCACAATCAATGAATGGAGGAGAACGTCCCGACCTGATGACAAGTGTTCGTGTCACGTTGAACGATGTTTCCAATTGGTTACAGAATTCCCCAACTATTAATATTCGAAGGGTTTGTTTTTCCCTTATTATGTTAACAGATTATTAATATTTGTTATTAGTTATTTTCTGTTATTACATATGCTTTTTATTTTGAACAATAGCTGAGTTCGACGAAATATAACGTCGCTGATGATAACATAGAAATAAACGATTCGACAAATAATATATCGAATCGACGAAATAAAAATGTTATAATTATTTCGAAAAGACAATTATCGACGGATTTTTCGGAAGAAAATAGTAATAATACTATAGAAAATAATAGCACAGGGATTGAAAATGAACAGCCCGAATTAAATGTTCAAGGAAATAACAGAGATAGTCGTAATGACGTAGTCAACGAGAATGATCCGCTCGAAGGTCCAAGCTGGTTACTCGATAGTTATAATAGCAATTCGTCTTTGACAAATACAAGGATGGAAAGTAGTAGCGAAGTAAAGGATTGTAATAATAAAAGCGACGATGATACTACCAAGACTTCCACGACACATACAATGCAATGCAATAGCAGTAGCGATAGTGATAGCTATACCGATACCGATAGTGATAGTATTAAAGGCGAAGAAGATAATAATGAATCTAATCATATCAATTGTAAAAAAATTACATTTAAATCTCGTAGTTCGAAAAAAGGAAGTGTTGTCAATTATTTTCAAAAAGACGATGTCAAAATAGAAGAACACGATAATATGAATAAGGAAGGATTTGTGACACGACAACGAGGAAATTCTACCGAAGCTATGGACGATGATCTCGACGACTTTACTTTAATGCATATGCGAGGAAACGTTAACAATGTATCTTTCAATTTAAACGATTTAAGATTGCCTGTTTTAGAAAATACCATTGTAGAATCCATAGTTAAAACAGAAGAGGAACCTGAGATGACGACTATGTTAGAAAATTTGCCAGAAAATAGTGAAATTCCATTGATCTTTAATAATATCTGCAATGATGATTCATTAATAGATCGGAATACGGTTACACTGCCTCAGCTTTCAAATACTGCTATCGATTGTACGATACCAGTGGTAGATATATCATTAGATATGCATCGACAAACGAAATTAAGAAAAACGAATCAATCCTTGGACTTAGACCATTTTGAAAGTATAACTTCGCGAAAAGCAGCGAAGAGAAAAGAGAAGAAATCTTTAAATGACAAAGATCCGAGCACCGCTAAAGTTGTCTTACAAAAACTTCCACATAATAAAGACTTTCACCTTAAATCGCAGCCTTTTTCATTAGAAGAAACATTATCACAGAATTCTAGCCTTTTGTCGTATGTATTATTATTACTTTTTTTTTTTTTTTAATACATTCGATCAATATCCAGTGCATTAATTTATTATTTATCGTTTTTAATATACCTTATTTAAGAAATATTCACTTAAAAATTCTAGCGATTCTGAAAGTAGCACAGGGAGCATACACTTAAGTACTTCTAATGATTCGTCGAAACGTCCTAAAAGGCAGAAGGCACCACAAAATTTTAAGGAACCAAATTTAAGAAAGTAAGTAATGTATCACCTTGAACAATCGAACTAATCTCATTATATAACTTAATTAATGTTTGCTTTTTATTGTAGAAAATTAAGAAGATTCAAATGAATATATATATATATATAGCTGTGTATAAAAAAAAAAGAATAAAAAAAAAGAAAAGGAAAGATATTTAAGAGAAATTTATAAACAGCAAAATACACTAGTACATTGCGATGTAAAGAAATATTCTATATGATATTACAACAGCACATTTTTAATCACTTTGTTAAATTTATATGTTAACGACATTACGCTCCCATTTTCTCAACAAAAATCTGTTAAGCTCAATCTCGCGTATAATTAATGTTCAACCAATTAGATCCATCTGTCCGGTCTATGGAGTAAAATATAATATAAATAAATAAACATAATTCTTCCATACAGTTTGTAAATGATAAACTAAAGTTTTATACCAATTTGAATACATATTCATTCCAAGATTAATCGCACCCGCCAAAAGTAGTGGTATTCTTAGTAATACATAGATATTTTTCTTGATTTTTACGTTTATACGGTATATACAAAAGTCTATTCTTTTGAGAAAATTAAAAATGCATCTGTGATGCCGTTAGCAATGGAGGACCAAGTCCATGATATAATAGTTTATTTTCTTGTTCTAAAAAAAAAGGATAAAAATAGAAAAAAAGACTACGGAACTTTTATAAAAAGAATTAATATCTTTAGAATAGATTTAAAAAGAGATATAATATTATAATTACCGTGGAAATTATATATATATAATCTATAGTAATTATATAATATTTAATAAATGTATTTAAACAGTTACTAAAAACTACAGTAGCAATAAAATGAAAAATTGAACAAATTCTTATCAAATAAAGTCATATAAATCGCTTTTTACTGAATAATAGTAAATCAAACGAATATATGTAATACAGTAATTTTAATAATTCTTTCAATCTAATGAACGTTTATGTAAAATATTCAAACTGTTAAAAATAAATTGTATGCTTTAACTAAACAAAAGAGATGTCCGACGAAAATCTAATAATGCTTTGTTGCAAAGAACACACAATTATTAAACCAGAATTAATACAGAAATGAAGTATTCTTTTAACTTGTCAAGATATCTTTTACAGTTTCAATGTGTTATCTCATAGTAGTACAACTCATCGCATAAGAAACATATCATATTATTGGATACTTTTATATAGCAATGATATGGCTGGCTCTGATTTCGTATAAATAAATATATAAATAATCTAATGATCGAATTAATGTTATTTCCATGTGTATGAAAGAACACGATTTGTGATTATACTGTGAATTTATAAGATGTATGTTGTTTAAGAAACTACAAGTTTATTAATTATTAACAATAAACGACTTACAACGATGTACTTTGCGTTTAGAGAACACCATATATAGATTACTGTATATTTATTCAGCCGACGAAGACAGAGACAGTGTTTCTAACAATAAAACAAATCTCTCTCTCTCTTCTCTCCGTCTTTTAATGATACTTTTAACTTATCATACTGTCGCATTTCATTTGTTATTCATTCTATTAAGAAATATGTATCGTTATCAATTTTCAAAGATACATACGACGACGGTCATTTTTCAATTTGAATTTCGATTTTCATCTCGCCCAAGATTCAGATGTACATGAGATATTTTGTCTAAAATTTTAATCTAATTTCCGTCATATTTACAAGAACTTTCCTTCATTTTTTCATTAGAAATGATTGTTTCGATGTAATTTTTCTCATTTCAAGTTGGTCGTATATATTTATCCATTGCACAGAATGTTTAAATCTTAAATTACCTCGACAAACTCTCGAGAAAATGATGGATAATGAGAAACCTTTTGAAAAGATTTCGAATATTTACAAATAAATACAATTATTGGTCGCGAATTAATTTCGATTGGAAGAATTTTTCAAGTTGGATCATTCGTTGATATTTTAATTAGTAAAGAAATGAATGAATTAATGAATGAGCACATATTACATATAGAAAAATATACTCGAAGCATGTTTTCTTTTTTACTTCTTTTGGCAAAAGATCTCCTGCCGTACTTTGCTTTCTATTTACATTTACTAAATAATTCGTATAATGATTTTAATCCGACAGAAATCTGAAATTAACATCGCCAAGACACACATCTATATACAACGCGTTATTATAAAAAGGATAAATATTATATCTAATAGAAAAATCAATTTTATAATAATATGCTGACAAAATGATTTAGGGCAACGTAAGATTTTTCTTTTCTCTTTAGAAACATTTTATAGTTACGACAGAGTTTCTTTCTATCATATCATATGTATGTAATGTACGATAAAATTGCACAGCCCTAAACATAATGGAAATATCACAAATTATTCGTGTATAATGATTATTTGATATTTGATGTTTTTAAGGCTAAAGTTTTTATTCCAGTAAAGATACGTCTAATATTTGAAATGGAACATTCCAAATTTTTCTAAACTAACTTGATAGCAGAAATGAAAAGAATATATGTATATCTCATGTATATATATAATAATGATAATTGCATAAGAATAAAAATAATAAAGCGCATTTCAATAACATAAATTTTAATAAACCTGACTATGTGCTCATGTCGATCGCTAATTGCAACATTCTGTGTGCGTGTATAAATAATTATATAGACTTAATCTCTTATTATCTTTTACAATAGTACCAATTTGATCTTGCATGGCAAGTATACCTAATATATCTTACACGTCGCGTTTCATAAGCGCGTCTAACACATGCATCGATCATATATATATATATATATATATAATTAATATTTAATATTATTAGAAAAATTAGATATTGCATAAATCTATTCATAAAGTAAATATTTGAGAGAAAGTACATTATTTACAAAAATTAAAGTCGAATGTTTTAAAAAAGGTATACGAATACGTACATTAATGATCGTAATCTTTTTTAAATATAACGAACTGAGATTAAATTGATATTATAAATTATTTGCATACGATTATGTAGGATGGGTGGATAGCGTTTGTGAGAGTGGCATAGTTGGAGTAGTTTGAGTGGCCAAGACAGAAACAGGCGTCGCAGGAATTTGTTGATGAGTCTGCCTAGACGGAGAAAGAAGTTCTTGTTTATCTCTTTCTCTTTCTCTTCCTGGACGCCAAGCTTCTAACAATGCCTCTACGCGTTCCTCGGTAGGACCCCATCTCGCAGCACCCGCCGCATTTTGCAGCCATACAACCAAAGTTCCATGAGCAGCCCTGATGTTAATTTCCCCTCTTAAATATAAAATGACATAATTTGTTAAAAAATCTTGAAATGGAAAGATGTTTTATTTATTATTCGATTAATTAATAAATATAGATAAGATAGATATGGATATTAAATATACTTTGGTAATATATGTTGATGTCCGTGTCTGTATTCGTGTTCCATTGCAAGTACTACCACTTGCTTGCGTTTAAAATGACTACTTTCTAGCTTTATTAGAGCATTGGGTGCTGGATCTCGCCACTCAGGTAGAAATACAACAAAAGACAAAGGTTCGGCCGAATCCGCCAAGAGACGTTCAAAGTGATTGACCATCGCTTCCATGAGTTCTTCACAATAGGGCGGATTAGCTTGAAAAGAACCGCTTACGGGTCTAAAATCCAAAAAAGGGCCTCTCGAGCCGAAATAGGAGTCTGTATCGGCAAACGTCGAACAATATTGTCTAAAGTAGGAATTTAAAGGAGAAGCAAAACACTCGAATGTCACACCAAATGATCTTTGGAGGCACTCAAAAACTGTTACCGGCAGAGCCATTTGAGTAGCTTGTCCCTCGATGCCAAGATATGTTTGGTATCGTTTTAACATACACCATACGCGAGGTAAAAACATTTCAAATTTTTTATCATCAAAACAATTGTACCTATATAAATGTTCTAATTTAGTAAAGTGTGTATTATTAATGCACACTGTATCACCATGAAAACGTAACATCGTCTGATCACGTTCCGGAAGATAATCCACTTGCGGAAGTCGAGGAGTAGGAAGAGAAAATTGCACCGGATAACACCAAACTTTTCTTTGAGTACTGGCAGGTCCCCCCAACGGTATAACGTCCCCTAAACCACTGTCTTTTAATATTTGATTATTTTTATCCTTGACTTTTTTTGCATACTCTGTAGACAAGTGATAAATTTTCAAGCAAATACCCTCGACGCTTCCTTTCACAGTTTCCGTAAGGTGAGGCTGACATTGGCGTTTCAAATGAGCAAGTCGATCCTGAAAATCGTCGAATGTTGCGCCTACTGTCCGGCGCAGCCATTGAAACGTATCTTCGGCGTTCCATTTAACAACTTTCCTGCTTTCCGAAGATGCTGCTCTTGATTCAATCATTTTTTTAGCAGCTTCCGCATAACGGGACAATTGTTTTCTAGCATCGCCGGTAAATTTAGGTCTTATCAATTTAATTGGGATATCATTCATTATTTCGCGATACATCGACATTGAGATTTCTGGAAAGCACTGACTCGGCAACAATGGATCTGATCCACAATCTATAACCTTACGTTCCATAAGCCATCGATTAAAAGAATCTTTAGGAGCATCTATGGACTCTCGCGTATGGCAAAGTTCTTGATAGCACAGACGCAATTTTGTTAATAAACCACATCGTAACGCTTCCACTTCCGGATGGACATGAGGTAAATTTGATGGAGCTCTTTCATGAATAATTACATTCGTCGGAATATCGAGATCCCATGGGCCTCTGTTGATAAAATAAAATTATTTTTACTTCTTCTTTTCACTTATTTTCACTTCTTATCATATGTTATACATACGCCAAGACAAATTTTTTTGGAGCTGGCGCAGTACCATCCTCTGAAGCTCTGCGCTTTACTCCACCACTGGGTGTACAAAGAGGTATCGATCCATTTCCAGGAACTGGAGGTACACCACAGATACCAAGGGGATCAGTTATAGGATCAAACTTGAATGTAACAAATACATTGATAAGACCTCTTATATTATTATAATATTACTTGTTCTATTATAATATTACTTGTCTATGCAATACCTGAGATTTCAAAGAGGGCACGACCCATAAAGATTCACCCGTTAACTTGTTCCAAAAGTAAGGCCTGTTTTCTCGTTTACTCCAAAATTTTTTCCATCCTTGTTGTTGAAGTTCAGGTGAAAGCTCAAGATCGGAAAAATTTGTTGGCGCTAAACCCTGTTACAGTAAATTGAACATTACATTTTTCAACTCATTTTCATTTACTTGATCTCTTGACTTCTATTTACCTGAGTTATTAAAGGTGTTTGTTGCAAATGCCCAAGTTGGGAACAATGATCAGTTACAGTTTGAGCCGAAGATAATATAGGAGGTTGAAGTTTAACTGGAGTAGGAACTATAACTTGCATAACCGTCGTATTTGTATCCTGCTGTAGTGTTTGATGATGATGATGAAGATGATGATGGTGATGATGCATATTCGGCGCCGATGACAGAGACGGGGGCGTCGATAGACTTTCCCAGGCTGAAGTATTTCCCAACTCTTGCTTGTTACCACTTATTTCATTCATCATTCGATTGTCCTTTCTCCCAATGCACTTGAAATATTATTTGTATGAGAATATTAATATCATGTTATATCCGTTAACAATACTTATGCCTATGAATACAGAAGAAAAGGGAGAAAAAAGAAAAAGATAAATACATTGAGGACATGCAAGGACTATGCACCTGTTGAAAGTCACTCTAAGAACATAAACATATCTGTACAATGGTAAATTCAACATTTACAGTTAACATTTAAAGAAAACTTCAAATAGATTGAAATGAATTCTAGGGGATTCATTTAACAAGTTTAGTTTTCTTTTAGATACTATCTGACAGTACTTGATGTTTTCAGGTTTGTTTACATTCTTTTTAAGCGCCCACTAATAATAATCAGTAAATATCCGAAATCTATGCATTTCTTAATTATCGATATATGATACTATTGTAATATACAACTTACCGATTAATAACACAAGTAATTAAAATAAGATATGAGACGAACGTTAGAATTCATTCATGATTTGTGAAATTCGACGCAATGATCTCCACCTACGAGACGCCATTTTCTTGAACTGAATCAACTATCCTGGCAACTACCAAAAGAATTCTCGCGCATGCGCAATGGATTTCCAAAGCGGGACGTGTACAGTCGAACCATTTGCAATCGACCTCGAATACGATAAAATATTTTTTAACGATTATTATAAATTATTTCTTTTCTTATGTTATATTCATTTCATTAATTATTTCCACATTAAATTAAAAGAAAACAATTGGGTATTATTTTCATATAAATCCTTTTTTCCAAATATTACAAAAAGAACATAAGTAATAAACATTTCTCTACTTCCTGGATATGTAATACGAGCTCCTAGATATCAAACCAAGTATGTTTATTAATGCATATTCATTTTTATTTTCTCATTTTTCCAAATTTCAAATTCATCTTTTTCTCTTCTCAAATGTTCTATTTTTATTTCTACTGAATAATCTACAAATTTCTTTCGAGCTTTCTCATATTCATATGCGATATAAATATTTGTTATTTTCTTGAATCATAATACGGTATTATATATAAAATATCTAAAGCATAAACTATGCAAGTAATTTAGATTAATTTTTATTCAATTTGTCCAGATCGAATGAAAGACGATAACGCTATCTGGATGAATTTTCTTGAATTATTCTCTAATCTAAAATGACAATAAGTCATCCTCTCTAGGATCCACATCATCCCGCCATATTGAAGTCACTGAAAATGTTTACTTCTTTTTGTAAATATAAATAATTAACACAAAAGTATATCTAAATTATAATCTATATAGAATAATAATTAGACAACAATTATTTAATAAACTAACTGTACATATTTGATTTTGACAGGTAAATAAAATAGTCGATAATCGTTCCGATCTTATAACTTTTAAATGGAGAAGACGCGGGATATAATTTGACCTAACAGAATAAGAGCGCATGCACTGACCACGTGCACGTGCATGCGAGTGACCACCTGCAGCAAAAGGATCATTATCGCGAACTTAAGTATGCATTGTGTCGCTAGCGCGTATATACATGACATATATGTATATATGTGTATATATATATATATACATATAGATACAATATATAGATACATAGGTATATGTGCACGTGCAGAAAACATTCTCGCGTACACAAATGCAATGTAATTATCGTCTGACGGCTTCCAAAGAAAACGAAGCGAAATATGCCAGCCGAGGATGTTGTTTAGAATCAGAAATAGAGGCCACTGTGTTCACAAACTTACAAAGAGATTCGATTTGATGTAGCTAAGCGGCTGATTTCCCAACAGATTAATCTCTTTTATGTTCTTTTTTTACTTTTACTATTTATCGTGTGTACGGTATACATTTATATACACACAAGATCTGTGATATTTTTGTAACAAAAAAAAAAAATAAAAAAGGAGAGAAGTAAGTTGATAGCTTTGTTCTTTGCTATATATATATAAAACAATATTGTATAAATAATAATATTTAATGTTCAGTATCTTTTTTAAAATAGCATTATCCATCTATCCTAATGTAACATATTCGAGGAACATGTTCAATATATCAAGTTCTCGAGTTAGGATTAGTCACTAGTTGGCAAAGTGTATTGCGAAAATAAAAGAACGATCGAGATCGAAGAGAGGGATTTCTCTCGATCCGACAACAGTTGGAACAAGGAGACTCCATTTATGACGTAGCTGTATCTTCCTTACAATATTTATTAATCTAAACGTATGTAAAATCAACATTTGAATTTATTTGCATAACAAAACTCGCGTTTAAGAAACGGAATAGAATTTCTTTGTTTTTGTTTACGAATGTTTTGACAAAAGTATTTTTTTGGCTTATACACAGGATTTACAATGTAAAATTGTTAGTCGGTCTTTGGTAGATGAAAATGAAATGACCATTTTCGTATGTTTTTACTTTCAGAGAGCCGTAAAGTTTGCGAAGATATCGCACATGTTGTGTGCCTGTGCCTGTGCCTCGCTGCTTTATTTTCGTCGTCCCAAAAGCCAACGTGGATTCGTGGAAGAACCGGTCGTTTCGAAATCCACTGCGGAGTATTGAGAGGACGAAAGAGAAAGGGGCAAGGGAATAAAGAAAATGGACGAAGGGTGGGGAACGAAGACGAATTAAGAAATCAACGAACGTAAAGAAAAGCCGGTGGTGTTTGGCCGACTTCCAAAATTCGTGACAACTAACGCAAGATTTGTTGCTACGAAATCCTCCTTTTTACCATTTTATCCTTTCGTAAACAAAACTTTACAAGCTTTACAATATACTCGTTTAGGTAGGTAAATCGCGTAGGTAAACGAAATTAAATTATTCGAGAGATTGATAATCTATTGTAAATATATCATCTTATTCTTTTTTTTTTTCTTTCTTTCTTTCTTTTCATTTAGAGTTAATACAAAGAGAAAAAGAAAATAGTGTACATTTATATATATATATATCGTATCATTGTTAAAAAATAAAATAAAATTATCGGTAAAAAATCTTCTTTTTAGTTTAGTTTCGTGTGCTTCGTATGCGTGTTTGTACGTTAGACAAAATTAGAGCGCGTTTCTGTTCAATTCTCTTATACGCGTGTAACAACATACCTATATCTATCTTTTTATGCATCATAAATATACATATATATATTTAATATATATATATTATTAGTAAACGTTGATATAATATTTGAATAGGTATATTTTGTCATTACTTAGTTGCACGTGCTTTTATCGCATCAGCACCATACTTCTATATCCCAATTGGGACTTAAGCTTATATATATATATATATAATCTAAATCACAATTAATTTGTTATACTTTCATCGTACGTACGTTTCTAGTACTATCGTTTAGTTCTCTCGTCGTTGGCTTTATTTCATCTACGCGCAAGCAATATATCGATTATTTGATTTATCGTTGATAACTTTAAAACTTGAAATTACCGTTATCTCGAGTAGCGTTATTACGATCGTAGTACATATAGCCCAGAATATTTAAAAAAAGCGAGCGAACGAACGAACGAACGAACGAACGAACAGCCTTGAAATCTCATCCTTTCCTATGCAATAATAATATGCACAGAAGGCACTGTGTACGCTGTATACATCGTATAGGTATAATGGCACGCATTAGCAAGACAAAAGACCTCGAATTCCTTCTCACTTTCTCTGGACTACAATTGTAAGTCTCTTAAGTCGCAAAAATATAAATCTTTATGAGGTATCGGAAGTCCCGTTGCTTCTTATCAAGCACGTCCTGTTCCAGTGTACAAAATTAAAATGTTGCATAAGGATATATATATATAATATATATAATAAATACATAAAGATAAAAGAGAAAAAATACTCGAGCGGGATCTTACAAAAGATAGTGGTCGCAACAGATGATGGATCGACTGGATCGATACCTGTATAAATACGCGTGCCCCTATATTTTAAAATTGTTCCGAAACAGTCATTATTTGACAGCCAGAATGAACGTGATCCATCACCTGTTCCTTGAGCCGACAAATGTGTTCCTTGAGTTTATGCACGACCGTACTCAATTCGCAGTTCTCGGCCTTGAGAACTTTGACCTTGTCCTCCAGCCTGGAAATACGTTCGAGTTTGCGCCTGCGACACTTGGAAGCGGCCACGCGATTCCGTTGTCTTTTCCTTTCGAGTTTGATCCTTTCTTGATTCTCCATATCTATCGGGGACATAGGCGGGGAGCTGGAAACGCTTGGTACCGTTTGCGGTTCGTCCTTTATTTGCATGAGTCCTTGACTAACCGAGGATTCTGTGCCGACGCTTTGCACGCTACCGGGTGGCTCCAAAGTCGTATAAGTAGCACCGTAAAAACTAGAGGGTTCTTGCGAGCTATCCGAGTGATGTAGCTCGTTTAAGGCATCAACGAAGCCACGAGCATAAAGTTCTTGAGCTTCCGTCACCACTTTTGGAAAAAGTATTTGGACCGTCGGTGTGGGCAAGGATGCGACAACGCCCTCGGTGTTGCTGGCGCCATTAGCATCCTGTTGTTCGATTATCAGCCTCTCCAATTCCGGCGATCCTAGTTTCAGCATGTTCAAATCCGGCGAGCTCAAAATCGGTGCTACGTTGTTCAAGGTTGTCGGTAACGGCCCTAATCTCGGCGTTTTAACGCGCAACTCTTGCCTCGAGCTGTTTAAATCCAACGTTAAATGATGTTTTCGTAGACCCACGTTATTTTCACGATTCGCGCCTCTATAAGTGACGTTAGGGTCTTCGTTAAATATTTGATCCATTGTTTAACTTTCTACCATCGATATCCTAGAGAATAGATCTCGTTCTGTTGACGGCAGGTCCGAAGGTCGTCTCTATCTGCCTGTTGTCTTGTCTTGTCTTTTATTTTCTTTCTTTTCCCCTCTCTCTCTCTCTCTCTCTCTCTCTCTCTTTCTCCAATACGCTCGTTTGCTCGCTTGTTCGACACTTTGGTGAATCACCAATTCGAAGCGCGTCTTTCGTTGAATGTTTTTACGCCGTAACCAAGAGCATATAGATCCGGTTTGATAAGAAAAAAATCTTCCAAAGAGATTTGTCCAGTGCGTTGAAGATTTTTAAAATATTACGATTTTCTCTCTCTCTTTTTTTTTCTTTCTCTCTCTCTCTCTCTCTCTCTTTCTCTCTCTCTCTCTTTATTCTGACGCAAGGGCAAAGTTACATAAGCGTATCCAAAGACGAGTTCCCTTTTACTCGAGGACGTGCGTGATGCACGCGCGTACAATATCTCGCATACTCTCGCGCTTCTTATAAATATCGAATGCAATTTGTATTTCAATTCCTCAAACGCGCGGTATCTTCGATGTTTTCTACGGTATACGCTTTACTCCCACTCCTTTATACGTCACTGTGGGGCGTGGATGCATCTCTTTCTCTCTTTCTCTCTCTCTCTCTCTCACTCTCTCTCTCTCTCTCTCTCTCTCTTTCTTTTTCTCTCTCTCTCTTTCTCTCACTCTCTCTCTTTCCTCGATTCTTATATTTTTCTTCCCTCCGCAGACAAGTTAATAGAAAAAACTTAGCGCACGATAATGAGTCATTGTTAACGCGCGCAAGGGTGCAAAAACAAGTGTAGCCAAAGCAATTTTCAACGGGTCGTAAGAAAAACGGTCAACACCTACGCGTACGCACGTGTCAAAGCTAATGTATATAGTAGAACGCTTGGTAAAAGATAGGAAGCGTGAATGCTTCCACTGACACTACGCTGCTGTGTCTTATGCTCGTACCACGTTATGTCTATGGCAACTTGTGAAAACCCAACTAAAGCGACTACCTTGTATCCTATGACTCATCCCGCTATAAATAATATTGTCGTCACGAGACAACTCCCTCATTGGTCGACGATGACGTATAAACTTATCCCCGATTGGTCGAACAAGACGCGCTACCAGGAATTGACTGGCGCATGCGTCCTAATTGATCTTTGACGGTCTTGGCGGAGGGATCGTTTGAAAGTCGCGATACGCGCATTTTAGGCCACATTTCCGTCCTTTTTATCTATGCAATAATTATTTGACTTATTATTTTCTATATTATCCATTTGCGGGAGAAATATTTATGTAAGAACGATCGTTGAAACAATTCGATTAGATCGTTTATCGATATCGAACATACTTCCGATTATTAGATATTATATAATCGTATTTTTAAAGAATTTTAATAAAATGTATTCCACGCAATAAAGGATTTTCCGTTCGATTGAAATGTAGCATGCAATATTTGGACTAAGGAACGATAATGGGGCACCGAATTATGCAACTAAATGTGATAGTTTAGGGACAAAACCTACGGAAATATAACTTAGTTTCTACGCTGACATTCAAACGCTCCCTCCGTCGAAAGTATTCGATTGGTTTCTGCGCTTGCGTCGACCAATTCCTAGTAGCGCGGATCGACCGACCAATAGAATAAGAGAGATGACGACACTAATAACCAATTAGAGAAGAGAATGGTGACGACATTGCTAATAATAGCGACGATGAGTCATGGGATAAAAGCCAGTACCTTTGGTTAGTTCTTCACAAGTAGTCGAAACGTCGCGTGATAAAGAGTGCATTACGTTTACTATCAACAACTCCCCTATAGGCGTGACACGCGTCCTAACACGTAGCAATTGCGTATCTACCATTTTCTTTCTTCTTTCTTCCTGCCTTTGCTGTCTCTCCCTCTTATCCTCTCTCCCTTCCTTTCTACTCTTTTGACATAGCGCGCAGCGAAGAGTGATTCATCCTCTTGTGTACTCTGTTCTTTCGATCGGCGGCTTTTAAGTTGTCGATCGAGCAGTGAGAAAAACGCGCACGTACAATTTCATCCACGTTCGACGTATCGTTGAAAAAAAGAGACAACAAAAAGTCTACTAGCGGAAAGGAGTAGAGAGCAACGCCTATGGTTAAGCAGCAACTGCATACGTGACCGAATTTATTGGTATTGTCTGGAATAATCGTTCGCTGCTAATACAGTATTGTTCTCTGGAGCAGCATATTCTTGGATTGGAGAAAGATAAAAGGGCAAGAAGAAAATAAAGGCGGAATAACTGTTAGTTATGTAACTTTGTCCTTGAGATAGGATCGAAGAAAAAAAAGAACAGTCGTCGAAGCAAACGATAACGGGTAATAACGGGCGATAACGGGCAATAACGGGCAGGCGATTTTTCTTCACCAACCGGATTTGCCCTCGTCCTTGCAACTCGCGTACTACTCCGTCGGTAGAAAGAACGCGTCCTGAATTTCCAATTGATCGGAACGCATCGCTTACAAATCGTCGACGACGAGGGTGGGTGCCTTGACCAAAGGTTGAAGAAATAAAAGAAGAAAAGAAGAAAAGGAAAGAACGGCCGCAAGTGTCTGCAAGCCAGCCAGCCAGCTAGCTAGCCAGAGATCGGAGCGAACCCAGGAGTGTGAACGGGGAAAGAGGGGAGAGGACTTCCTCGGCGACCTTCGAATTGTCATCGACGAAAACCCGTCTCGTGGCACCGATGGTACGAAATCTGACAATGGACCAAACCTTTTACGAGGACGCTACAAGCGTTTACGGTGTTGTCAATCGTGAAAACAATATGAGCCAACCTAAACGTAATCTCACTTTGGATTTGAACAGTTGTCAGAGACAAGGACAACAGGCTAAGAGACCGAGATTAGGTCCCTTGCCAACGACTTTGAACAACGTAGCACCGATTTTGAGCTCGCCGGATTTGAATATGTTGAAACTCGGATCGCCGGAATTGGAAAAGTTGATAATCGAACAGCAGGACGGTAACGGGAGTATCGTCGCATCATTGCCGACCCCGACTGCCCAAATACTTTTTCCAAAAACTGTTACGGAAGCTCAGGAACTTTATGCTCGTGGCTTCGTCGATGCTCTAAACGAGTTACACCACTCGGATAGTTCTCAAGAACCCGGTAGCTTGCACGGTGCTACTTATACGACTTTGGAGCCACCCGGTAGCGTGCAAAGCGTCGGCACAGAATCCTCGGTTAGTCAAGGACTCATGCAAATAAAGGACGAACCGCAAACGGTACCAAGCGTTTCCAGCTCCCCGCCTATGTCCCCGATAGATATGGAGAATCAAGAAAGGATCAAACTCGAAAGGAAAAGGCAACGGAATCGCGTGGCCGCCTCCAAATGTCGCAGGCGCAAACTCGAACGTATTTCCAGGCTGGAGGACAAGGTGAAAATTCTCAAGGGCGAGAACAGCGAATTGAGCACGGTCGTTCATAAGCTCAAGGAACACGTTTGCCAGCTTAAGGAACAGGTGATGGATCACGTTCATTCTGGCTGTCAAATCATGACCGTTTCGGGCCAATTTTGAAAATTGGATTATTTATTTTGAAAAGGGTCTCTCCAAACGCAGAAAGAAGTTTCGTGGAACGAATTAAAAATCATTTATTTGATGATACCACGGGGGAGTTCGGTCTCGAAATTCCGTTTTCGTTCTTTCACGGAATCGTAAACGAGATAAGGACACGTGCCGTACCAACAATTCTTTTTATTTCTTTCTACATACGTACAAGTATGTATGGCAAACATACAGATAGGCGATTTTCTTGCTTCAACTTTTTTTTTCTTTCTTCTTTCTTTTGTTAGTCATTTATCAATGTCCAATGACAAATGAACGAAGGATAAAACACGAGCCAAACGATGATTCTGTGCTCTATTGGCTTTTAACGTAACGAACCGAAGGATACGAAAAAGATGCTTTTTATATTCTCGATCCTTTTGTAAAAAGAAAAAAGAAGAAAAAAAAAAAAGAAAGAGCCACCCGTTATATATCGAAACGCATAAACTCGTTAAGACTCGTTAGTGAATCGAGATGCGATATTACCGAGGAGAAACGTGTGCACGTGGGTTAATGCGTCCTTGAATGAATGTTGTGTATGTGTGTGTCTGTGTGCGAACAAAGCTGCTAAAAGATAAAAAAGAAACTAACAATATAAGTATCTACCTCTGCTCGCTAAAAGGATATAATATACGACGTGGTATTAAGCATTTACGTGGCGCTTTTTTTGAGAGTAGACAAAGTAATTGACCAACTTTAATTTGTTTACTTCTACGATATACATATGTAATATTTTCTTTTTCTTTCCTTTTCTTTTCTTTTCTTTTCTTTTCTTTTATCTTTTAAGATTTCTTTCAACGACTAATACTGTTTTAATGACTATACATATATATACATATATGCATGTAACTTTTCTTTTCTTTTTTGTATTCCAAATTATTAATACTACTTAAAGTATTATTACCGATTCTTCATTTTATTATCTGTCTATATCTAGTCTTGTTTCATGGGACAAAATTCAAAAGTCTGCACTAAAAATACAAAATGTTCAAAGAATATACATATATATATATATGCATACGCGAGTACGTATGTCAATTACTATTGTATTGTTGAAGTGCTTAAATAGAAACAACAAATCGATACAGTTTTGTCCCTTAAATATGCAGTTTAAATTTATTCATTGATATTTTATTTTTTGTTTTTTTCCCAACACCCCCACTCCCGAAATAAAATTATTTTACGAAGACGTCGTCTATATTATATACATCTGTAATATATATTTTAATAAATTAATTAGATTTTTATGATGGTAATTGTGAAAGAAAGAAATTTGTAAAACATTTTGTCATTTATACTAATGCGAATTATTACAAATGGTGTGTGCCTTGTATGCGTTAATGCGTCGCGAGGAGTTTCTGACATACAAAGATCGTCCATATATATATATACACACACGTACACATACACATATGCTTTTTATTTTTCAACTTATGCCTTTCGACTAGATTGTAATTTTAAATCGATCGATAATATTGGCTTATTGTAATAAAACAACAAATATTGTATAATGTTTAATACTAGATTTACGGATGATTTGTTCATTAATTTGGAATGATTTACAAACATTGTTTGAATGAACGATTGAGTAACGAGGAGGAATTAATATATTTACGTATATTTTATTACGTAACTAAAAAGCAACATATGTTTTTAAAAAAATAATATATATATATATATATATATATATATATAGTAATAAAATTTGTAATGAGTCAAATTGGCTCATGTCAGTCCGTAAATCTAGTGTTAAGGAAGAAAAAACTAACAAAAATACATGAAACGAGAAAGAAAATGAAAAGAACGCGCAATGCCAAATTTTCATATTTAACGAATACACGTTGAGAATTTTTACCGACAATTATATTGTATAAACTTGTAAATTGTATAAATCTTGATGACGATCTAGTGGTCAACGATGACCCAATGATGAAGAAGCGGATAGGACAAATTTATTAAGTTAGCGATGACATGTGATCCAGTTAGTAAGTTTTAAAAAAGAAAAAAAAAAACAATATTAGAATTTATAGCGGTATTGGTGCTTAGAAGACGATTTTCGCCGTGCGAGCACGCGTAGATATACGATTTTTAGAAAATAACGCTTTTATATATATACATTGTATCAACATTATACATTGTATATATGTTGAGACAAAGCTAAAGTCTTTTTTTACGAATAATTTTATTTTTGAATGAAATACAATGAAAATAAAATTTTGTTTATATTCAATTGTATTGTTTGTACATTTATCATATACCTTTTATTGATCACACACACACACACACACACAATTATATATTATATATTATTTCATATGTTATTCGATTAGAATAAAAGGATGATGACAGGAATTGCAAAGCAGGTAAAACAACTTCAGCGATGAATTGCGCTTTGATTGGTATCATACAAAGAATAAGGAAAATAATCAATCCAACTAACGTTCAGAGAAATCATATAAGTGATTAATTTTCTATCTTACAAGGAATAAAGTTTATTAGATTTCTAAGAAACATCATTTTTAATCTGCAAATTTTTTATCAAATTTCCTACGATAGCATTTTTCTTTATAATTAATTATAACAATTATTATTTTAAAAGCCAAATGACAGAGGAACTATTTATCGTTTTATTAAATTAAGCGAAATTGCACATAATATTTTCTTGAAATAAATTAATAAATAATTTAAACACACACACACCACATACATACAATCTATCGTAAAATATAAATATCCGGGGATGACTTGCAGAGCAAAACGGTGATCAAAATTTTATCTAAAATTCTAATTGAATTGTTTTTTTCTAATACACGTCACGTAAAAGCATTTCATGTAATGCATATTAACATCAAACAATATAGATTATTGCAAAGAAAATAATAAATTAATTACATTGACAAATATACGTAATATCGGTAGTCTACAGATTTTAGGAAAAGATCATTTTATTTAACTCGTACTTATTTACATTGATGTGAAAAATTCGGATGGTTGTTTAATTGGACTCGAGGTTGAACAAGAAATGTATTATTTATATGATTTCGTTTATACTATGATTCCTAAAATAAGGTGGTATTGTATATATATATATTTTTTTTTTTTGCAATATCCGTATCACGTAATAATATATATATTATCTAGGAGTGAATAAATGCAATGTAGGTAAAACGAGGAACGTAGAGATCAAAGTTAGATAAATGATTGAAAAAGTGAGATAATTTTAATAATTTACATGTTTCATTATTGTATTAACCTGTATTTCAAAATATCGTGATAAAGAAAAGAAAAGATAAAAGAACGAAAGATATCGATCCATCTAGCTTATAATAAATATCGCACTTTCAACTTGAAAATATGAATTTCCTTTTAATTTATTATTATCTACGCAAAGTTTACGACTAGCAGTAAATTGATTTCTTTTTATTTTCTTTTATCAAATTATCAATCAATTTACAAGATTTTGATTTCCCTTTTGTAATAGATAGAAATCGATAATTATACTAAATCCTGCAGGTTTCGAATCTGCGCATATTCGATGAATATTTTTTTTTTTTTAAATACCATAAGATTATACTTCCTCTCACATATAATTCGGTATATTTAAGATATACCGTGAGATTATATTCACGTCTTACAATGATAATAGTTATGTGCATTACGAGATGATAAATTATTTAAATGCCCATTCAAAAATGGTTTCTCGTATGTAACTCGAATCAGTATAATAATGCGTTAATAAAGCTGCCTAATTCATGCGTCCTAATTCGATATTCATCAGTTTTACATAGAAGAATTTCCATTATAAAAAAAACAAAAAAACAACAACAAAAACAAAGAGGGGTGGTGGGAAAAAGGGCAAATACTGCTAATTACAACTTGGTAGTTCCCGATATAATTTGTTGATATAATTCGGGTGTAACTTCGACGTATTCTTTATCCGATCGGAAATACACTTTATCTTGAATCTTATTCGGATCGAATCCCTCATTTTGAAGACCAATTTTTTTCAATTTAAACGTGCCCGTCATTTCTAATTCTTTGACAATCCTTAAGAAAATTGGTCTGGCGTAAGAAGGCAAAGCTTTGTCCAAGCCCTCAGCAAGCGCTTTAAAATCAATTAAACTTTCTGGATCTACTATCGCTGCCATTCCAGCTTTTCCTTCGACACCTGGTATCTATTCAAATAATATTAATAATATACAATTTATTACTTTTATATTAAATTATATAACTATTAGTAAGTTTAATAACATGTCAAGTGTATATGTATTGTAGGTATGTATTTATCAAAATAGCAAACCTGTACTCCGTAAACGGTTGCATCTCTGTATCCAGCAACGTTACTGATAACACCTTCTACCTCAGCAGTAGCTACATTTTCACCTTTCCACCTGAAAGTATCACCTGTTCTATCCTTGAAATAAAAGTATCCAAATTCATCTTGTACTAGAATATCACCTAACAATAAAACAAGTATATAAATATATATATGTGAATACTATCAAATGATATAATGTTTCTACCTGAAAGGAAAGCTTTGTCACCCTTGCAGAATACATTTTCGACTACTTTCTTCCGCGATGCTTCCTTATCCAAATATCCATTAAATTCTCTCTCCGCGTTTCCTTGTTTTATCAATCCTATGAGCATACCTGGCTCGTCTAAATAACAAAATAAACATTTTTAATTCCTAAATTGGAATAATATCAAATATATCAATACATACTTATTTCGGTTCGTATGCATAATCCGTCTTTACCCCTAACCGGTTCGCACGTATCAGGATTAACGCGAATAAGAGCAACTGGATGAAGAAATTTCGGTAATATCGATGGAACAAAACCAACTGCACCAACTTGATTGTCAACGTTAACTGTACGTCGAATATAGAAAATTGAATTATAATTGTAAATAAAATTGAATATAAATTATTTGAAATAGAAAATAATTAATTACCGATATTAGCGTTGCCTTCGCTCGATCCATAAACTTCTGTAATTTGTTCTATCTTAAAACGATCTACGAATTCTTGCCAAATTTGTGGTCTCATACCATTTCCGACCATAAGTCTTATCGAATGAGCACTGTCTTCCGGTCGTGGTGGGGCCTTTAATAAATATCGACACATCTCACCGATATATTGTGCTAACTGAAAAATAAATACAAAAGAGTTATGAATTATATTTATATAAATATATTCATTTGAATATTCGTCGTGACACTTACGGTGCATTTATATTTGATACAATCGGTCCAATAAGCGCTGACAGAAAATTTGCTTCTCAAAACACTTGGAATACCTTTGGTAAGTGCACAACCCGTTCCTACTAATCCACCAGACATATGATATAACGGAATAGGATTATATAAGATATCACTATTTTTCCTCAATCCTAGCATATGATAAGTTGCTGTTATGACGAGTAGGAATCTGTTAATTAAAAACAGATTCGATTAGACATTTGTTTTCTTTTTTTCTCATTTATTATCTAACGATATGAAAGGAAGAAAAAAGGCTACATATTTTTTTGTATTATTATTTTTTTCTTCTGCTTTTTTTTAACTAAAAAGAAATGATTCGGTTATAAATTTCTCTCGATAGTAAAAGCTTTCAAAAGTTAATATACTGACAATGAGACTTCGTGTAAAGCAACTAGATCTACATTAATCCGATTTGCAAGTAATTGTATGGCTTCTATGACAAGATTATGAATGATTTATTATACTCGGTATGAGTGTGTCTATGATCTATGTATTATGCGTAAAATACATATTCTACGATATATGAATACGTATATGTATAAACGAATGAATAACAATTAAATTAAATAAGTTATACCTCGAATTTGGTACAATAGCTACTTTGGGTAAACCAGTTGTACCACTGGTATATATATACAACAAATCATCTTTATAACCAGGCTCATTATCAACCTCTGGTTCTGTAGTACTAGCATCTGCTATTAATTTATCCAAATCTGTGACATCTTTGCTGGTACCTTCGATATTACCGCCGTGTTTATACTTGGTTATTCCTTTAATGGTATCCGAAATTTCTTCGATTGCTGAAAAGAACAAAAAATGAATTTTCATTTGTTAAATATTTTATTTCAATTGTTATATATTGTATATCATTTAAAAATATTTTATTAATTCATTAATACCTGAAGAAAATTCCTCGGTGTAAATGATGCTCTTAACTTTGGCTATGGTCAAACAATGGCTTAAACATTGTTGACGCAAATTAGTATTGATCAAAGCTGTTATCATTCCTAATTTTGCTAATCCAAGCCAAGTTGCGATATATTCTGGCCTGTTAAGCATCATTAAAGCTACTGCATCACCTTTACCATATCCAGCTTCTTTAAAAACATTTGCTATTCGATTACTGTACTTGTCGATCTGTAATATATCGATAATCGCAATTTTTTAATTAGATCATATTCTATCCATTTAAAATTACAAATTCCGAACTTTAAAATTCAGAATATTAAACAAGTTACCATTAGATATTCGATCTTCCAAATATTTCATACATGTTTTATTATTATTATTTTTGAATATTTTTATACTTACGTCTTCGTTTGTCCAAGTACATCCTTGAAAAAAGAAACATGGTTTATTCGGATAAAGCCGTGCACGTTTTCGGAAAATCTTCATAACCGTTGTATTATTTTTAACAAAACTTTTCAGATCTCGATCAGCGTTTACATACCGATAGAGAAATCTGTCGGAAAAAATAAACAAAATGTATAGATAATTCAATAATATTTTCATTATTTAAATGGGATCTCATAAGAATTTATATTAATTATTCATCGTAATAAACTTGAACTCGCATCGGAATAACGATTTTCAATATATTTATAATGTACGTATAGAATATATATATATATATATATACTGTACTATACAATATAGATAAAATTTGCAAATTGATTGGTTTACGCTATTGTGTGTGTTTTTTTATTATAGTAAGGCAATATTGAAATAGCTATTTGTAAAATATTAACACGAAGGACAAATATCACAGTACGAGAAAAGTTAGAATAGCTATTACATTTTTACATATTTCATGACTTTACTATTTTTATATAATGTCTTTTTTTAATACGATAATTCTAAGAAATTCGATAGAAAAGAAAATGATGCGTTTATTATAACATTTTAATTATTATACGAACGAAATATCCTTTCTATCTTTTTCTATGATGAAATATGCTGAAATATGTATTATAATACACGTCAGCACGACAGGTAGGTATACGTTAATCGACCACCTTTGTTTTTTTTTTCTCTTACGAGTCTACTTCTTACGATTTATCTTCCTCTAAAATTTCCACTTTACTTTTTTTTCCTTTTTCTTTATTTTATAAATAATTATACGGATTTTTTAATTGTAATTTTCGAAAATATGAAATTAAATATAGATACATATATATACGCTACGCGATAAGAATGGATATTATAAACTGATAATGGATAATAAAAAAAAAAAGAAAGTCAGAGAAAAACATTTACGTATTATAGGTAATAAATGTTGGAAATAAAGCACAGGTCATCAGGGAAAATAGCCTTTAGCTCTTTTTCTTATGCCGCATTATTTCCAATTAAATGAAATCGCTCTTTGTTTAAGAAACTAAAAATAATCTCTCTCTCTCTCTCTCTCTCTCTCTCTCTTTAAAGTTCACAATACTATTTTCTCGAATGTTAGAACATATAATATATATACGATATATTATATTTTTTTTTATACTATAATAATTTAATAATTATACGAATAAAAAAAAGGAAAAAGATAAATATATATGTGTGTGTGTGTATATATATTATATATGTATATATAAGTATGTACGTATGTATGTATAAGAAAATTGGCTTTTATAAACTATGCGACTTCACAGGCATGTCGCATTAAAACCTTGGATCGATAATATACGAGTTGAAATGGCGAGACCGAACGGTGGTGATATTTCAACGATAGTACTTCGACATTATTTTTTATTATAATTATTAATTTTGAAAGTTAATGTGTTAATTCTTTAATTTATTCCATTTCATTTTATCTCATTAACATGACAGCGAATAAGACATAATGACAGCGAATAATGACAGCGAAAGAGAAATTAAAGAGACAGAGAAAGAGAGACAAACAGACAGGAACAGAAATAGGGGGAGAAAGAAACAATGTTGCGCTTAAAAAGAAAAAGAAAAAAACTAAGAAGAGAATTGCTACTTACTTGATATCCCTTGGCAGTGTCTTTAAAATAACGTAAATCTTTCGATGAAATTTACAAATTAATGGTATAAGGGCACAAGCTAATAAAACTTGAGCAATTCTTCCCAAAAATCCGATCCTCGCTGTTAAACCGGTTGCCATTAAACCGGCGATAGCAAAAACAAGAAGGAACCTGATGTCCATTTTTTTTGTTAAACTGGGTCACCAACTTTAATGAAAAGCGTATGCAGTTATACAATCAAGAAACACGCTTGCTATCTCCCTTGAAAGGTACTGCGAATCGACGCTACTTCAACGCTATTAAACCGTGGAGGGTTGCGATACTACTATTACATTTGCTCAGGGGTGTTTTTATTTGGCGACACCTATACCTGGCTCGTACTTATCTTCCAACGAATAATTTTTCATATAATACTTCTCTCTCTCTATTTACATAAATTATTTCCTAATTAAGCGCTATATAATTCGATCGTAAATTTTTTGTTGTCATATTTTTTCGCAAGACTTGTCAAAAGAAATATAAGATCTAAAAGCTCTCTTAACGAACAAGAAATAATTTTTTTTTTCTATTATATAACATTTAGATATATAAAGATAATACGTATGTTCGTAAGTCGGATATTCGTCGAACATACTTTTTTATATTATTTAATAGCAATTTCTTGTTTTATTTTTATTTAACTAATATATAGAAATATATTTATGTAAATTCTCCGTTAAGACACAAGTCATTAATGGGAAAAAGATATCCTGAGATTATGGTTGGATAATAATTATCGTTGCTGATCAAAGGATTTATATACGCGACTGCAAAACTGCATATTCTAATTAGTTTCATTGATTTCTTATCTCTCTCTTTCTCTCTCTCTCTCTCTCTATATATATATATATATATATATATATATATATATATACATACGTATATCCGATAACGTATAGCAATATTGTGTATAAATGCGCTTAATAAACATTAATGTAAAATCAACGATTAATAATGCGTAACTATTTTCTAAATAAAATCTTTCACGGATATATTTTTTATTTTTCACGGATCAAATCTGACACGGATATATTTTTGTATTATATATCTAATCTATAGATTAAAACTATGATAAGAAGAAAAATTCTCCTCTCTCCCCTCTGTATATGATTGTTTTCCCTGTCCACATATTCTAATATTTACTATTTCATATTTTCATTCTGCTAATGCATAAGAAATGTTTGAAAATCGATTGCAATGAGCATCTGATATTTCATTTTAATTAATCGGAGATAATAAAGAATATAATTATTGATTACGTACTTATAAAATAGAAAAGTTTTATTTCAGAAAGTAACAAGTCAAAGTTTTCACCACATTATAATATGCCGTAAATATACACCATATAAATACACCATCGTGAGAAATCTTATATAAATAAATGTTAGAGTAACGCTAATCAGGACAACAAAATAATAGATCCTACGATCACATTTTGATAAGCTATGGATACGCCTAGGTTTTTTTTTTGACAAATCGTATTTTTTAATTTAAATTAAATTGCTATATACAAATATAAATAGGCGAAAATGTCTCTCTTTTTCTCTCTCTTTTTCTCTCTCTCTCTCTCTCTCTCTCTCTCTCTCTCTTTCTTTCTTTCTTTCTCTTTTTCTAAATTTTGGAAGAACAAGAGTGGTTTGTTTAACGTTCTCCATTTATGCGATAAATAGTAAATTGAAAGATTTAGTACAGTCAAAATGCACTCATCGTGGCATATATAGAAGAGCATTATACACTTTGCAGATAATATTTCATTCGACAAGCTAGATGTTCAATATCATTCGTTAAAATAACTTTATAACTTAATCTTTCCCTCTTGAATTTGATCGAATATTTCTTTCGTTAACTCCTGATATCCCGATTTTGAATCGAAATAATACAATTTGTCTTGTATTCTTTTGGGATCGAAACCGTCATCTTGTAAATCTTTCTTTTTTAATTTAAATGTACCTGTGAAAAATAAAACAAAAATTCATTACCAACAAATATTTCTAACATTTTTATTTCAATCATATTAGTGATATCATTTATTATTTACTTGTGAGATCAACTTTGGATAATATTCGAAGGAACTGAGGCCTGGCATAAAATGGTAATTGATCTTTAATATCGGCTGATAATTGTTTTAAATTTAACGTATTATTTTCGTCACAAATTGCAGCCATACCAACTCTTCCTTCTGCACCATGTACCTAAATAATGATTGACGTGTTCATTTTGCTCTTATTATTATCTCATGTAAAAATATGTATATGAAAAAATATTTAATCCCAATTCGATTGTACCACTAGTCGAATTAAAATATTTTCGAATTACCTCAACACCGTAAACTATACAATCATTATAGTTTATTAAATTACTAATGATAGCCTCGACTTCAGACGTTGAAACATTTTCTCCTTTCCATCTAAACGTGTCTCCCGTTCTATCTTTGAAATAAAGATAGCCCAATTCGTCTGATACTAGAATGTCACCTGAAATCAAACGATTAGATGGAAATATTCTGTATCGTTGAGATATATATATATATATATATATATATTAATGTTGGAATAAAAAAAGAAATATACCAGATAAAAAGGCAGAGTCGCCTTTAACGAAAACGTCGCGTATAATTTTGCTATCAGATGCTTTCTTATCCACGTATCCCAGAAATGCTCTAGTCGGGTTGTTTGGTATTATTTTTCCAATAAAAACGCCAGGCTCGTCTAAATGAACAAGAAAAAGAAAACCAAATAAAATAAAAGAAAAGAAAAAAAGAAAATATAAACGACAAAACAACCGTTTGAAAAGCAGTTAAATCCAAACAATCCGTTTTACTTGCCACGATATTTTCTAAAATTCAAAATAACACAAAATATAATAGCGTTCGATCGATTATCCTTTATAAAATCTAACTTACTAGGTTCGCAAACTTGACAGAGTCCTTTAGCATTTCTTATTGGTTCTCCTTCGGCATTAACTTTAATAATAGATATTGGATATATCGATGGTAAGATTCGTGACATGAATCCTATAGCTCCAACAGTATTATCGATGTTTACTAGAAGACAAGTATATTATTGTTTTTAATGATAATTTTGTCTCCAAATATACAAGGTACTCAGTCGCATGTGTCCAATTAGATTTTTTTCTTACCGATATTAGCGTTACCCTCGGTCGCACCATAAAATTCAATAACCTGGGGTATATTAAACCGTGCTATAAATTGACGCCATATTTGTGGTCTAAGTCCATTACCAAAAATCATTCGAATATTATGTTGTTTGTCTTCGGGTTTAGCTGGTACTGCCAAAATGTAACGACACATTTCACCTATGTACTGTGCAATCTGTAAAAAAAAAAAGAAAATTTATATCCATTCGTTACACAAACACGAACATTTATTCATTAGATTTCTTTGTATAATAATAATAATATCAATGACGTTATAATATTTATTACCGTGCACTTATACTTAATGCAATCGTTGAAATAAGCACTAGCAGAGAATTTCTTTTTAATCACAATCGTATTTCCGTATAATAACGCTTGACCTATTGACATGATACCACCTGCGGTATGATATAAAGGTAACGGCGTATACAATATGTCAGATGGTTTTATCTTAGCTATGATATTAATTCCGGTGATGAATATAAATCTATGAAATAATATCAAAGATATATCGATTAATTTTAACAATTGTTTGAATAACTATTATCTGATATATGAATGTTATAAAAACCCGATTTGGCATATATCATTATTTGCGTTAATCTCACCTTGAATTAGTTATAAAAGCAGCTTTAGGAAGACCAGTCGTTCCACTGGTATAGATATATAATAAATTATCGTGATAAGATATTTTGTCTTGCGGTACTGGCGGTAAGGTCGAAACTTCCGATAGAATATTCGTCAAATTTTTTGCCTTTAAATGCGTAGATTCGACTGTTGTTTCATTTCCATATTTATAAAGTGCCATATTTGCATTGAGCGATGTAGCAATATCCGCGACGACTAAAAAGTATTAATAATTATGATACCGCAATCGCATGCATGCACATACACACAGATTCTCAATAAATTCTAATTAATATTTTGTACCTTCTGTAAATTCACAACTGTAAATCAATGCTTGACAACTGGCGATATCGATGCTATGCAAGAGAGATAACTTTTTAAGATTAATATTAATCAATGACGTTATTACGCCTATTTTACTCAAACCAAGCCAAATCCCAACAAAATCAGGCCGATTTTCCATCATCAATGCCACCACATCTCCTTTCCGATAACCATGATTTTTAAAGGTCGTTGCAACTTTGTTACTAAAGTCTTCGAGCTGTTAATAACGAATGATTAATATTAATTAAATACACACAATAATAATATATTGTAATAATCGTCAATAATAACCACTTACTTGCTGGAACGTCCATTCTTGATCTTCGAATATAATGCACGCTTTATTCGGATGCCGTGTAACTTGTTCCCGAAATAAATCGGCAACACTTTTATTGTTTTTCTCATAGCCACGAAACAACCAAAGAAGTTTAATGTATACCTGGAATGCTCTGGAAAACAAAATATAATAATCAAAATAACTTAAACGCATTTGCGTAATAATTATAAAATATCGTATATTATTTAAAAATATGCAATAGAAAAACTGCGCGCTCATTGAATGATTAACGTGTATAACTTTGTTTTGATGAACATTTATTGATTTTACTATTATTGTTACCATGTTTTAAATAATGCTTTAAATACGTGAAATAACGGTCGAGCAACGTGCATTAGAATTAAGCATTGGAAAAAATTGAATAAATTAAGTGGAATGGGGAGTGGAGATCGATGAGAGGAAAAATGCAGTAAAAGAGAGAATTAATATCGGTAATAATATAAAAAAAAAAAAAAAAAACAAGAAGTAAAAAGCTTCTATCGTTCGATCGAATTCAATCCTACTCGATTGCGAAAGTAATTCTCACGTTTCCATCCTTTTCCACGGTGAATCTCATCAAACTCGTTGCTAAATGTAAATGATATGCGTTATTACGTGACATTATTAGGAATACACAATGACAATACGCATAGACAATGTTATTAAGCGGGTTAATTATTTTCTATCGATTTTAAACAATTTTTATCAATTTTTTATATGAATATAGGATTAAAATTTGACATTTCATTAAATTTGATATATCATATAAACCGTTAGGTTGACCGATCAGAGAAGAACCGGGAGTCGCGGCTGGTTAACGGTAGATCAAGTATCATACAAGAAAGAAGAAAGAAACTTCTAAAGTACACGTAAATAAGGAAAAAGATTTTACATGGAAAAATTTTGCAATATATCAAATAACAATGATTTTTCAAACGAAACGAATAATAGAAAATTAACGCGACGGATTCGCGTAACTAAATGACCAATTAAATAAACTAACGGTACACGCATATCGTTTACAATTGCTAATAAGAAAATCCCAAAAGATTATTTTGAAGGAAAACTATGAGAATTTGATTACAAGTTGATCACAAAATTGGTGGTTCCAAGGTTCTTCGATCACATTCATAACTAGTTACGCAATTTCTTTTTTTTCTTTTCTAGCCAATTATTACGCGTAATCAGTTTTTGTGAAACAGTTCATAGATTGCATATATATGTTTTTTATAACAATACCCAAGAATACGACAAACGAACAATACTAAAGTAGAAAAAACGTTGAAACAAAAAATCAGACCTTGGTCATATATACGAGAACGTGTAATAAATAAAAAAGAACATGATAATAATAATAATAATGTTAATGATGATGATGATGATGAAGATGATGGTTTACTTACTTAAGATCACGAGGTAATGTACGTAAGGCAACATAGAACCATTTTAGACGACCTCCGGCAACGAAGTAAGCAACAATCACAACGACTAAAAGTTGAAGAAGAAACATGTGGCCGATATAAAGGGTCAAGAAGGCCAATGAAGCTGCGATAAACGTTATTAACAACATGATTAGCATTAGTTGTCGAATAAAACGGCCGATTCTTTGGCAACGGTTTGTTGTTGATGCTGTTGCAGTTCTACATCCGCCACGTGTGTCTTCTGTAGTATCCTGCGTATTACTAGGTAACGTAACAACGTCTACCAAGTCTCCTTGTTTTTCTTCTTCTTTTTCCTCTCCTAGATTGACTATCACCTGGTTTGTATTCTGGACTGAATGCACTGATGTAGTTGCTGCTGTCATCGACGTTGCCTGGGATCGGTTCAATGATTCCCCTACTCTTCTATTATGGACCTTGCCCCTCTCTACATCCTGCAATATGAGAAAGCAAATTTTCTTTTCGTTTTATTGTTCTTCTTCTTTTTCTTCTTCTTCTTCTTATTCTTCCTCTTCTTTTTCTTCTTCTCTTCTCCTCTCCTCTTTACTTCACTTCACTTCCTACTCCACCACCTTCGCAATCTTATTTTTTTCTTTTTCCTTTTCTCTCTTTTCTTTTTGCTTAAACATTTTTCTCTTCCCACAAATTTACATACTCGTCTTTCAAAAAAATATGACTAATAATATCGATCAATCCTTTCTCTTTGTTGCAATATTATATAATTTTTCCCAATTTTTTTTTTTTTTTTTGAATATATATATACAATCTTTCGTCGCGTGACTGCAAAAGGACGGGAATATCTTTATATTAATTTTATTACTACTTAAATACCATAAATTTGTTTTTATTTATTTGCTTTTTATCTTTTTCTTTCGATAGAATAATCGTATTTGTACTAATAATTATCTTATACTATTATATTCTATTTTCTTGTTTTTTTTTTTTATTTTAATAAATATAGTAATAACGCATAATTTAGACATAGTTTATGTCATTCCGCGTACCATCGCGTTTCGTGTACTATTCTTGAGTATCTATACATACTTTAATATAGTTAGGATTTTAAAAATAGAACCCTTACATACGTATTTCACATTTTGCAATTAATGAAATGCACGTATTTCGAAATATACAAAAACGATTGATAGACTTTGAACTCGTATTCATATTTGAATAAATTGAATAGCGTAATTGAAGAAACGTGAAAACGCAAATATACATATACATATAAAGAGAAGAGAGAGAGAAAGTAACATAAGAGAAAGTTAAAAAGACAGAAAAGCGTTACGGGTTACTTAGTTCTGTTGTATGCTATCAATAATTTTATATTGCTCCACATTTTCTCTTCTTTTAAATAAAATATAATATCTACATATTTATATACATATATATATATATACAATAATAGCAAACTTGTTAGAAAATAACTATAATATAAAAATTTCTAAACGACATTTGAACTTTAATCAGGGGATTAAACAAAAATGGAATCTAATTTGTTGGCAAATTAATATTATTTGTTATATATGTCTGTGCATATTTGCTTATAAATACATCATTAACTAACATTAAATATCGCAATGTTGTTTCAATTAGTCAATCAAAGCTTATTTACGGCTGTTAAGCAGTTCGTCTATATAACATATATATATATAAATGATATAATCGTAATCCTTGAATATACACGTGGATACAAAATGCAAATCGAATAGAATTAATAATAACATTCAATTTCTTTTTTTACCCGAGATTATTATTTTCAAATAATATTTATAGTTTGATGTAGCGTATGTGTAAGCCTGAAAAAATAGAAAAGAAAAGAAAAGAAAAGAAAAGAAAAATCGTTCTCGTTAAATACGTACTTGCTAGAACGTTTAATTAATTATCAAGATGATCGTGATAGTATATCGTGTCGATGGCGTTAAAAGTTCATTTTAGCGAACACTATATTTATTGTTTCATGCACGTCGCACCAATTTAATTCCTTATTGTCATTTTCGATTGTAAATATTCGCATGATTAACAATTTTCCTCGACTAATAAGTATTTATATAACAGGGCATAGTTCATTTGTTCATTCATTCATTCCTCCCCGTATTTGTTTCTTTATTTTTTATTTTTATATAAGTACATTCTATATTTTATTTTCCAATAAATTTTTTTTCCTGCTTCTTATACTTTTTCATATCTTTTTCTTTTTTTGAAATTGTTGTATATGCATATTATATGCATATGTGTATGTATAACAATTACTATATTATAAAATTTTATTTATTTGTATATATT